TCTCCAAATCCAATTTGCAAACCACTCCCTTCTTCTTTGACTTTCTAAAGCTCTCCAAGCTCTCATTTGCAATGACGATCTGATCGGTGATCTGTCTTCCCTCCACTAAAGCACTTTGGTTGGGTGCAATAATAGAGGGGAGCACCTTCTTTATCCTGAGAGACAGCACCTTTGCAATGATTTTGTACAAGCTAGTCACCAGACTAATAGGTCTAAAATATTTTGGTTGAGAAGCATCTTTCTTCTTTGAGACTAAGGCAATGAAAGTTGGGTTCAAGCCCGGGTTTATTACACCCCTCCTATGGAACTCCAAACCCTAGCCACATTTAATTTTTGGGAATAGGTTTCAGCAACACTATCCCAAATTTCCTTTGTTGAATTCATCCACAAATAGTGTTGACTAATTTGTGGTTGCATTGAGTTCACAAGCTATCCAATAACAGTATAATTTTCTTGCATCAACTTTTCATATGATGGATCATCTTTCGGAGGAGCCTTTTTGCTCCCGGAGATAAAACCCCATTTGCCTCTACTACAAATATGAATTTTTACTGATTGTGACCAAGCCAGATAATTAGTTCCATCCAACTTGACTATGGACACAACCAGTAGAGAGTCTACAAAGGCTGCTCCCGGAACCTGTCCAGATTCAGCAACATGCTTGTTTTCAAAGTCTGAGGAGTTCATCTTCTTAAATACTTCAAAATGACTTCAAACAACTTCGAATAACAACAAATGAAGACAGAACAAAAACTGTGTTGTGAGCCAACCTCTATGCAACCGTACCAGTAACCTGCGTCACACCCGGAAGCTGGGAGAAACAAAGAAAACTCAATCGCTCCTTGTAGACTTCACAAAACACCAATCCACTTGATTCGATCTTCAAGAAGAAGAATGAAAAGGCCTTCAGTCACTGAGCGCCCAGATCAAACTCCCTATGGGGCCCGCAATCAAATTTCTTCAGAAAATTAGGGTTTCGGGCAACAAACTTGAACCTGTCAAGAGGACGCCAAAACCAGTCCCCTTCTCTCCAGAAACCACTAACAACTGGACTGAAATAGGTTTCTTTGACTATTCATATGATTCAGTTCTCCATACACATTGTGTATGGGAAAAAAAGGTGAAAAAAGAGAGAAAAAACGAGCCTGCTCTGATACCAAGAAGAAAAACAGCCTTTTGAGAAGAAATGATTGTTTAGAAAGTTGCAAAAATTCAAAAGAAAATAGCAGAAATCAGAGTTCAAGAGGAGAGAAGAAGAAGAAGAAGTGGCGGCAACTTGGGTTCAGAGAAAGAGATTTTCGAACATAATCTCTTCTCTTATTCCCTTAATTCTATTTCATTAAGTTAAACTTTAGTAATTTACAGAGAAGCCCCTAGTTGGGTAGAAAATTAAAAAGACATAACATAAGAAAGAATAAAGCCTAGATTAAGGCCCATTACAGCAAAGAACATAAAAGATAAAAAAGGATAAACAGCCTATGGGCCATTCGGCCCATCTTCTCTACAGAGGAAAAAAGATCCATTTAGCTAATTGGGATCAGATTTGTGCTCCAAAGGATCAAGGACGCCTGGGGATCAAGAGGCTGAACCGTTGAAGATATTCAACAATGCTCTGTTGGGAAAATGGATTTGGAGGTTTGGGATGGAAAGAGGAAGGCGGTGCAGAGATAATAACTACTTCATCGTTGCCCTCTTTAGGTTGCTCATTGTGGAGGAAAATTATGAGCATATCCAAGTTTCAGCACAGGGCTTAGCCCTAAGTTGGGCAATGGTGAAAGGCTGGCCTTCTGGAAAGACCCTTGGTGCAGCAACTACCCTCTCTCAGAGTTGCTTCCACAGTTGTTTCAGATTGCTGAGTATCAAGATGCTGCCATGGCAGACTGCTACGAGTTTAATGGAAGGTCAGTAATCTGGTGCCCTTCATTTCGAACAAATTTTCAGGGATGGGAGATTAACTTGCTGAGATGCTTGAGCATGTCTCAGTCCAGGCTGTGGACACAAACAGCAAAGACAGTTGAAGCTGGAATTGGAATGCTGATGGACTTTTTTCAGTCAAAATTTTTGCTCTCATGCTTTCAGAGAGAAATCTTATTGATGTGCCTGCTTCCAGAATTTGGAATCCTATTTCTCCCTAAAGTAAATCTGTCTAGAAGAGGGGTGCAGGTCCCTAACCAGATGTATGTGTTGTGCAAGCAGGCTTTGGAGGAAATTAATCATCTGTTCCTCCATTGCTCTGTCACCTCCTGTCTCTGGTAGCACTATATCTCAGCACTGGGATTGACTTGGGTAATGCCTGGAACAGTGCTGGATCTTCTTTGGGGCTGGGAGGTTAAAGGACTCTAGAAGCTGGCTAGCAGTGTGTGGGTCTCTGTTCCAGCTGCTGTGATAAGTGCTATCTGGACTGAAAGAAATAGCAGGCTTTTCCAGAAGACTTTTAAGGAAGTGGATGATTTAGTATCTTTCTCTTTTGGGAAGCTGGTTTCCTGGGTGTTGGCTGCAAAGGAATTTCAGCAGTTTAACCTGGGGGTGCTGTTGAGGTTTTGGAGTTTGTTGGAGCTGTAATTTTTTCAGTTGTTGTTAGTGCTCGTCCAAGCTGTTTTCCTTGGGGGGCTTGTTGTACTCTATCTGTGTTTTAATAAAATTACATTACCTATTTCCAAAAAAAACTGTATAATTCACCAAAAAATTTTGAAAGTTTATATTCCATCCAGTGGGTTCAATTACCAAATCATGCAAGCTTACATTCACCAGTAATTTAAACTCCTTGGCATAGTGTTGGATAAAGCATCACATTAGGAATTAAAAAAAAAAAAAAACAGCCTAAGCACTTTTTTTCCTACAGAGTTCTATATTTATTTTTACCTCTTTTAACCTATGAGAAATGTTAGCAGGAACAAAGGGGGAAAATAAGAAATAGACAAAACCCTTTGCAGTATCTTCTGAAAAACAAGGGCTGTGATATGTTTCTTACCATTGCTTGTGATATAGTCAAAGGACTCAAGAGCCTCAGAAGTAGTCCTGTATATGTTTGGTGATAAGATATGCACCAAGTGATTATCCACCCACCTACATTATGGAAAGATGGATTATCAACCTCCCCGATGCAACACAAGGTAGGTTTTTTTATTAGATTTTAAATGATAAGCTTCAAGAAGAAGAAAGTAAAAAGACTAAAGACTTAAATTAGTCTCTCTTTTTCTTTTTGATCAGCAACTGAAAAGGACTTCACTAGATAAGAGAAAATATCATTACAACCAAGTGAGCCTCTAGTAGGCTAGCTTCACTAGCCTACCCAACAATTTGATGTTAATATCAAGTATGAAGAAGTAGAACCTAAAACATGCAACAAGTAATGGAGTATGTTTTCTTTCAGGAACAATGGAGTATATGCATCAAGAAAAAGCATTTAGAATATTAAAAGTCATAACAACTACCAATTCCCACCATGAACAGGACATACTGGAAATTGTAGGGATAGACTCTAGGCAGAAGAGTTGGATAAAACTATTAGCAACTGACACCCTGAAGAAACAAAAGAACCACACCTGCGCCACTTTCTCTCTTCATCATCAGAAAGAGAATCAACAGATTTGTCAGGATTAATCCTCTGGGCCAGTTTGTCAATTATATCTGCACAATCATCGATATCCAGTTTTGGATAACAAATAGTAACTCAAACTCAAATGTTTGGATATGCTCTTTACCGTGTCTGTCTGATTGTTGGAGAAATAAAATGCCTACTATCATATATATTTCTATCATGAGTTAAAGAACAGGAATTTGCTTGAGAAAGAAGTAATAGGAAAGGAAAAATACAAGACAAAACCTGATGAATCAACCAGCTGTTCGCCATCAACTGTCAATATTGGCACTTTCTTATAATCTGACCATTTTATCTCTTTTTTACTGAGGGGGTTCACTTCCACAACTTTGTATGGTATATGATGATAGTCTAGAAATGCTGAGAAAAAAAAAAAAAAAAAGKGGAAAAACATCACCAAGGAGATGACAAGCCAATCAACAAAAATAAATAATTAATTAATTAAAAGGAAATGACCTCCAAAGATGTTAAAGTAACAAAAGAAGAAAAAACAAGGACTAACCAAATAAATATATATCACAGCAAAGGGATTTCTTCAAAACCCTAAATTGGAATTTTTGGACCTGACATTATGTCTAAGATAAATATAAGATAAAAATAGAACTGCATACTAAAAATATAATAAGTTATTTAAGGAAATTTAGTAGTATTTGTATTTAGTAACAGCTCTGTAACCAGTCTTCTTTTAAATCAGATTCATTATTAACAGTCCAAACTAAACAACAGAATAAATAAGAAATTCTGTGAAGATCAAACCACTGAAATCCTTCACATTATTTATATTTATATCCCATAACTTATCTAATTACACTTCAACCAAACAGTTATAGATCATATTACCCAGAATACAATTTTTCTTTTTTTCTTTCTGAAGAAAAAGATAAAGTATTATATTAAAGATCAAAAACCAAAGTACATGAGATGATGTACAACAGCAAAGAAGGGATCTGCATAGATACCACACCAGCAAAGAACTTTCACTATACATAGAATTTATATGGACACCCATTTTTGCTAGCTCATCAGCTAATGAAATTAACTCCCTAGGAATCAAGTAAATTTTTGCAGTCATTGAACCCAAAATGCCTCTAGCCTCAGCCAGAAAGTGTGCCAGCCTCCAAGGACCCATCCTTCTTTTTTTTTTTTTTTTTGATCAATAAGGACCCATCCTTCTCGCCCAACTATTTTGTTGTGTTTGCAGAATCTGCTTCAATGATTAGGAAAGAAATGCCCAGGTTTTTGGTTAACCAGAATACAAAATTCACCATCTATTTATTGGTAATAGATGAGAAATCCTTCCCATTCCTTGTATTTATAGCCCCTACCTTCTCTAAGCGCACTTCAATCACTAACCTGAAGACAAGATACATCATATGCCTATTGGCAATAGATAAGTGTTATAGCGCCATTAATTCTACTGAGAAAATCCAATGCTCGAAATCATAGAACGTTATCACCAATCCAAAAAAAAATTATAAGAATTACTTAACATACAGAACCGGAAAAAAGTTAATCATAACTTTGTCCAATTATCTTATTTTTAATTTATACAACAATCTACCAATTCGACAAAATTTCTCCATTTAACTTCCAATAGATCCAAAGCAAACGCCTTCAAACACCAAAATTAAATCGAACTGAATAGTTGTTTGGGAAGGGTAGTTAGTCGAAGAAAAGAAGTATACCTTTGACCTTGTTGCAAAAAGGGCAAGCTTCGTACTGGTAAAGGACAACCTCCTTAGGGAGGAACTCAGGCGATAGTGGTTCTTTAGCGTATACCTCCGGTATGACTGCAGAAGCGGCTACGGAGAAGGAGATAGCTCCGGCGAGCCCCAAAGATACGGCTCGAGTGGATCGCCCGAGGCAGGCGGCTATGCTCTGCAAGAACCACCGCGAGGGACCAGCTGAGCTGCTACTACTGTTGTACAACGCCACCTGGAGAAGTCTGTTTTGGACGCCGGCGGTGGTGGAGGAGGCAGCAGCTAAGGACTCATGCGCTGTGAGCGTAGCTCGCCCCACTACGTAAGAGGACAGACTCTGAGCCCTTCTCATCGTGTCAAAATATCAACGGAGAAACCAAAATGAACAAGGCAGATCAACGCCCCCTTAAATCAGATTTTAGAGCTTAACAACCCTGAACAGATCAATTTATATCGGTTCCGATTTTTCGACTTCCTCGAACACCGATTTTAACCGGCACGAGTCACGAAATATCGCGTTACCATAAAACGACAGCCTTTCTTTCTCGTCGTTTGATAATAGGCTGAAGGCCTGCAGCAACGTTATAAGACTCGACGGCTCACAAAACCGAAAAAGCCACAACGTCACGGATCATACGGTCTGACCGTTAGGTAAACTATAACTCAATGACTCGTGATGTCATAATTGAGGAGTTCAAATACAAATATTTACGGTGTAAATATTTGCAAACCTGTAATTGGTCCAAACCGATTTAGGCTCAAACCAATTCTATAGTAAATAATATA